CATGTCGCTCGAGTTTGTTTCTAGGTCGGAGAGGAGCTTGAGGAGGAGGACTTGCACGCCGTGCGTAAGGATCGTTTGCCTGAATCTTGACGATTTTAGCGCTGTTAGAAAATCAAATCAGTCATCGTAACACAACAAAAGAAAGAAAGCGAGAAAGAAAGAAGAAAACCAACCATCCATCTCATCTTTCAACTCCCTCAACTCCCTCTCCCCATCCTCATCCAACGCAACAGGCGTATACCTTGCCATATCAAGCCTCCCAACACCCTTCTCCCTCTCCCTCCTCTCCCGCGTCTCCTTCTCCCTTTCTCGGAACTCACGTTCCTTCTCCCTCATATCCTTTTCACGCTCTTTAACCCCCCTCTCGCGCTCCTTGACCCCCTTTTCCCGGTCCCGTACTTCAAATTCGCGCTGCGCACATTCTTGTTCCCTAGAACCAATATCCTTCTCGCGGTCGTCGAGTTCTTCGTCGTGTGGGTGTGGTGAATCATCAGCTTGAACTTAAATCCCAACTTCACACATTGAGGACGACGACCCCTCGCGTTTCCTCACCATCCCCTCCAACTCATCCACCCGAAGCCTATACAACCTCCCCTCCTCAATCCTCATCCTCTCCTCCTGAATCCTCAACTGTTCCTGGATACGCAACCTTCTCTCAAGGTCCTCCACCCTCCGCGTATCCAATACGCGGTTCTCGTCTTCGCGGCGTTCCGATAAGCGATTGTTGAGGTCTTGGATTTGGACGTCCTGTTCAAAGATCAGGGCGTCCCGTTCTTTGAGGCGCAGTTCTTATTCTACAACACGCGCAGGGGCCGAAAGCTTACCGCGTTCTTCTGAGATCCACGAGTCCCGCCTCTGTTCAAACCTAGCTTCGAGTTCCTCAATACGTGCTTCGCGTTCACGAAGTCGGTCGTCTCCCTTTGAGGATGGGTCCTGAAGACGGGTATGTAGCCCCTCAACACGAGATTCGAGTTCTTCAAGCCTCGTATCGCGTTCTTTCAAAAGCTGATCAAGCTCCTGTACACGGGCCTCCCGTTCTTGAAGGAGCGCATCGCGTGCTCCGAGCCCTCCTTCGTTAAGTCTGGCGGTCAACTCCTTCAGACGTTTATCCGAGTCCCGTAGTTGACCTTTGAGCAGCCAGGCACGAGCATCCCCTCTTACGCGGTCTTCGTGCTGTTTCTTGAGGGATCTGTCTCGCTCTTTGAGTGTCGCTTCGAGTTCTTGGATTTTGCGTTTGAGGTCGACGGGAGTGATGGATCTGTTGATGGGTGTGCGAGGAGGGGGAGGAAGGAAGGGACCGATTGGGCGTTTCACGCCGGGACCTGCTAGGTCTTAAGTGGTGGTGGTGGTGGTGGTGGTGGTACGGTTGCGGGTGACGATGGCGCCGTGTACATGATGGTGGTAATTGGAAGTTGTTGGGTGCTCGAGATGTCGACGGGATCGCAGCGGAAGTCGAGGGAGGATGATCGTCTTCTTCGTCATCCAAATCTGACAGACTCTCCAGATCCAACTCGAACCCCGGGACATGCAATGGTCCAGCCGACGCAGACGCGCACGTTCCAGCAACGGGTTGACCATTTTGCTGATTCTTGGCCGCAGCCATAGACGCAGACCTCGCAGACCTCCTCTCCCTATCCTTCACCTTCCTCTCCCTCGCCTTCCTCGACGAACCCTTCCTAGTACTCGCTGTTGCCCCTCCCCCTCCTTTCCTCGTAAAGTTAATTCGATAGTGCTCGTACGTCTCATTCGAGATCCCCAGATCCCCAGTAGCGGTTTCCATCATGAACTTGATGAACGGCGGAAACGAACGATGTCACTCTTTACAGTGCTTTGCACTGCCGTCTGCACAAGGGAATTTGGAAATCATGTTTGTACGTGTTGTACTGTGACTGCCACAAATCGGAGAGAAACAGACCACCTCATTCAACAAGGCCTGAAATCTCTTGTGCTGAGAGATGATGCCCACCATGCCAAACGATAATCCGCGCGCGCAACGCATCTGATACCTATGGCACCATGAGAGTTGGTGTGAGAGATTCAAAATTCCCAACGTGGTTCTAATGCGTGACAATCTGTGACGAACATACAAAACCAAACAGAGTTTTCGAAATTTCGTTGTGCAGACGGCAATGCAAAGCACTGTACATGCTTTACACGTCGCAGATCCGTTTGGTTGGGTCCTGGGCATAGTATTCGCATGTGACAATGTCTACCACAATGAACAACGTCAGCTTTACATCTAAAGGGAAAACGGAAGGAAGGAAAAGAACTTACTAGCGAGTCTAACCAGGCCTAACCATTATTTCTGTCGTTCCCTGCCTTGTCCCTGCTTTTGAGGTTACAAAATCCGACTAGAGCACGTGTGACAAATTTGTTGGTCACGTTTTTCTTTCAGCTCCGTCCGCCACCACATGAACTTCAAGTCAAGATTCGAACCTGAGTCTTCTTCTCCCACCACTCCTACTCTGCCTAATGCCCCTCTCAGCAATCATAACACAACCCGCGAAACTCGCAGCCCAGCGTATCTGTCCTGTCCAACAATGTTCGCGTGCATTCAACCACGTAGCCTTACTCAACCACCATATCTTCCGATTTAACCACCCTATTTCATCATCATCTAGAATGCCCCTTTTTTCTTCCTCATCATCTCGACGCGCCCATAATGGGTGATAACACATTTGTTGTCTGTGCACTTCTTGTGTTACATCCGTGAGGACTGGCATTTTACCGCCTTATTTTGTACCCCGCGTGTTGGCTCTTACTTACTAGCCCATCTCTTCCAATCAGTAGGAGCGCGGTTCTCGCCTAAAAGTCAAAACACGTGGTCGTACTTACTGGGGCATTACGGATGCAGAGGCGTAGTCGCCTCTATGCTCCCGTTCCAGTCTCCACTACAGCCACCAAGGTCCAACTGGAGACGCCGAGAAGCACTGTGGACTTCAGTTTAGTCCTGCGAATTTGGCGGTCCAGAGCTGGATACAATAATATTCGGGATTTGTATGAGACGTCTGATTGGTTCTTTTCTTTTTTTGTACGATTTGTTTTGTTGACGTGGAGGTGGCCATGGGTTGAAGGCCGGAGAATTGTACGTTCATCGGAAAGAACAACCGTGCATGGAGTTTGTCTCAATCAACATTGTCGTACGTTTGTCGACCACCCGTTTTTCGTGGAGTGGACAATTACTGAGATTTATCTTGGTTAGCTGCGTTCCGCGCTTTGGTGGAAGAGAATGTCAAGGCAAACATTGAAGAGGATCAGTGATTAGACATGTGAGTCCCTTCCTTTTCCCCATTTTTGTGTTCTTCGCGGACTAATGAAATTGATGAACAGCACTACGCACATGATCTTGAAGGTGCGGTGCACATCCATGGCTGGGTGCACAACGTGGAGAGCGGAGAGGTGTTTGATTTGGGTGTCTCCGCCGGTCCGCCTGGGAAGGAGGTGCCGCCCACGCCGTTTCCTCTTGTTGGTTCAATCGACCCTTGGAAAATAGATGTAAGTACCCAATAAATTTGGACCGTATTCCGATTCGTCGTTTTCGTTTATAATGGAATCAAAAGCTCTAAAGGCTCGCTTTTTGTGTTATGCTTGCTCGTATGAAAGATCCTTACAAATCCCATCATTACATGCCCTTTTCACTGTCACTACCTTATTCCTTCTTTTTCTGGTGCCGTCTGGCCCTCTCCACGTGGCCCGCTTCTACTTTACGGAGGTCATCCTGTCATCCTGCCACTCCCGACCTCTACAACTCTTTCGACCAGTCGTTCTCTTGTCTTTTTCGAGCTCAAGCTTCAAAATCATGGAAGTGGGGTCCTATCGCAGCTTCGAAGCTCAGGACGGGCATGTGGTGTTTCCATCCATTTTTATCGATCCGTTTCGCTAACCAGAAGTTTAGATCAGAACTCCACGACCTACTGCCATGAGCTGCTTTCGCCGGCTCCAGCAAACATTCTATGGCGTGTCCTCCAACGTTACCACCATTTCGTTCGTCTGAATCGTTGCATGATCCGTTGCTTTGACACCTTGAAGCCCTGAACGAGCATCAATTACGATGTTAGGCTTAAAGACGCCCACGTCGGGCACAGGAAAATCTGCGTGCCATCTGCGGACACAGGTTGCGTGCCAGTTGCGAGCCGAAAAACGGTATTTGCGGTCACTTGCGTGCAGACCAATTCAGTTGCGTGCAAATCCAACCTAGTGAGCCAAGTATCTGCGGGCATCTGCAAGCATCAGTGTACCTCACTGAGATGTCGTATTTCTTTAGATTTCTTTGAGAAATATAATTATCCTTCTAGTTTAACGTATACAAATCTCTCTGGTTCTTTGGGACTTGTTAGTTCGTACCTATAGGTCTGTACTAAAACCATTTTTATGCAAAAACTTGAAGGTACAGTCTTTTACAGGTCCTCGATACAGAATAGGTCCTCGATACACTTTCAACACTTGTGTAGTTTCTTCAAACCACCTGAAATCCATGTACTTATATCATCTGTGGGTACATATGGCTTCTATAAAGACCCTCCGGTAGTTATAATGACCAGTCAATGTTGAATACAGAGAAATGAGGCTTGTTGTTGTTGGTATCATTTCCTAAAATGGACTTATACCTCCTCGATACACTAGTATTCAACAAAATACACAGCCAGCCTTGCATGTATCTTCAAATGCTCTGGTACATAGCTTATTTAAGGTAATACAAAGGGTTCTGTCCCTTCAGATTTTGGCAAACCAAAGTCATTCATGGATGGGAAGAGTTTTTCATTTGGGTGTATCAAGGACCTGTAAAAGACTGTACAATTTTTGGTGAGTAACGAAGTGTCTGAGGCTATGAATTAGGGACTGTCACGGATAGCTAAAGCCCAGGTGAACCCGAAATCCACCCATATTTGGACTCAACTGATGGATTCGGGTAAGTCACTTTATCCATACCAATTTACAAGGGTACCGTAAATGCTGTAAAATCGCCTTCCGCCGGATTCTTCGCTTGATGTCCCTGACGGCCCATCAATCCCATATCCCGTAGGGCCGCCTGTACTACCCATACCACTCGTCGCCGCCTGCATATCTCCCACTCACCCACCAGTCCACTCCTTACTCATTTTCACTTCAAAAACACAGCTACATCGACCTCCACCGCCTCGAAATCGCCTTCCAGGTTCCGCCCAGTTAAGACATAGTACGACAATGGAGAAGGTCAAAGCCGCCACCGTTAATGGAGCGTAGATGGGGAGAAAGAGTCTGAAAAGGAGACCCAATCCTTTTACATGAACAGTGGTACATGATTCATCCGGCTACATTCTCGAACTCGCGTTGACCCTTTCTCTTTACTGATTTCAAAACAGACTTATCCCTGGTTCTACAACAAGGCTATGGCCACCCTCGTCAACAGTGTCGGGCTAGCCAGCTTCCATTAGCTGCACAAGAATTTCATGCTACTTCCCTCGCCTCCGTCTCATACCCCGTGAGGCAGGTAATGATACCCTTTTCCCTCCACACCGTCGTCCTCCACCCCACCTCAAACATACATGCATTCATTAACACCCTCCGCCTCCAAGACGAATATAGCCAGGTTTCGGACAACACACAGATGTCTGAGTGTCAAGAAAACCCTTGAAAACAAGTTCAATTCCTCTCTGGCGACACACTTCATTGACTTACAACACAGACTGTGGCGCATATTGGAATTTACACATCCTCATGCCCCACCTTCCTCTACGTGCTTTGCTCCTGTGTCAGCGATGCAGCCCCATGGTCAGCGATGCAGCCCCATGGTCAGCGATGCAGCCCCATGGTCAGCGATGCAGCCCCATGGTCATCTGCTCTCCCCCCTCTTTTGCGGCTGCGCCGCACACTTCACCGAGCGCTGTCTTGCGACCTACATTGACTCTGAGGATTTGGTCTAGCTGTCCCTTTGTCGCCTTGTTGACATTACAGTAAGTGTCATTTTTATTTCTTCAGATGACGGTCCTTGCTTATAGTTGCAAAATTGACATAGTACTACATGCCCCCGTCACTATGCCTCAAATCATTTCAATATCAACCCCGCCACCATGTTAACATCATCGGCTCGCGACTTGTTCACATTCGGAGATGACAGTGTGCCTGTGTGCACCACTGACGGCGATCATAAACTAAAGCACCCTGTGTTCTGGCACTCTACTTACTTTCAGATTGTACAGGGTGAGATGCCTTTGTGTTTTTTTGCTGTTGGGGTGCATCTATACATGGAGTAGAAGCAGCATATGTAGCTCAATAAATTGAATAATCTAACGTTGTCTTTTATGAGTCTCTGGAAGAAGGGAGTGCCAAGCTTCTGAACGGGCATGGTAAGGGCTGGTAAGGGACTTGAGATTTTACAGGGACGGAATGCCTGGCCAAAGGATAAATCTGTAAATCAATCACCAGGGTCCAGCTCACTGTAATTTCAAACCATTCGGCTCCTGGACCATGCCAGCTCACTGTAAATCCCTGTAAATTGAACCTGATTTACTGTAAATTCTGGGAGTGTAAGTTCTTACGGCTTCTTACCACTACTTACCCACCTTATTTAATACCTGTTTCCTGTTGGTTAATTCCTGTGTGCATCTGTATTTACAACACAGATGGTTAGGACTCTCCCCCTTCAGACAAGAAAGCCTTGAAAGGTGTATATATACTACTTAGGGCCACAGGGACTATAATGGCTAATACATGGTCCATAATAACAGATGCGACGCGACACGTTGGTTCT